CGGCCTCACCGGCCCGTGCGCACCTTCTTGATGTTGTAGAGGCGGGTGAGCATGCCGACGCCCCGGTCGTTGAGGATGGTGAGCTTCTCCGCCAGCTTCTGCTGACTGGGTTGCAGCACGGAGCGCGACATGGTGGTGGTGGTGGTGGTCGTGGTGTCGCCGCCGGCCGCCTCGCGCGCAGTCACCAGCCCGCGGCCTCCGCAGCTACCTCTGTCGGGCCTCCTCCCCTCCCTCCCGCGACCTCCGCCTCAGGGGAGAGCGCCCATAGCCGTTGCGCCCCAATCCCGCGCCGGTGACAGAGGGAGCCGCGGCGGACGCCTCGGGGTCCTTTTCCCCGCTGCAGCCCGCGCCGCGGCAGCCGTCCGCCTTCCGCCTACCGCCCTTGCGTCCCACCCCCGGCGCTCTCCGCCCCAGCTACCCCCGCGAGCCGCCTTCCCGGGCTCCTCCACTAGGTGTGGCGGCGGCAGCGGCGGCGGCGTCTACGGCGGCTGAGAACGAGGCTGCTTCCCGCAGCCCCGGACGACCGCTCGGTCACCTGATCGGCAGCGCCGGCGCCCCCACGAGGCTGGACGGGGAACTGCTCCTGGGGCCCTAGCCCGGCCCGCCCCGCCTCGCTGCTGCAGCCGCTCGGGACGCGGCTCAGGCCCGAGACCCGACCAGACCTGGCCCGCCCACTGCCCCCCTGTACCGGCATAGGAGTCTAAGCCGGGGCCTAATGAGGCTCTGTTCGCCACACACCCCTCTCCTTCAAGTTCCCCAAAGTTGTCTTTCAGCACCACCTCCCCCAAGAAACCAGCAGAAGCCGGCGGGGAGGAGGGGGGCGGGGGCAGGGCGGGTGCTTTTCTGGCGAGTTTCGCCCAAGAGTGGGCCGGTGGCTCCATGCGCTTTTCCCTCCCACTGCCTGACAGACGCTCCCGGCTGAACACAGCAGATGTCGCGCTCTGCGAGGCGGGCCTCCCCTCTCCCATCCTCCCCATCCCGTCCTGACTCCCCCGCCTCAAGGCAGTTTGTGAGAGAGAGGTCGGAAGTGAGGGCAACTCAAGTTCCTGAGATAATCAGGATCTGGAATTTGTCGGCGAAGACCACCCTTCCGGAGAAGGCGCTAATAGAAGACGCCCCGGCATGTGGGAGGCAAAAATAAATGTTTGTTCAATGAAGGAACGCTCTCATTTTTTCTCTGGCCTCCACCCCAAATCCCACTCCTTCTTGGCAACATTCTACTTTTCCATCTCTCTCCCTCTCTTTTTTTTCTTGATCAATTTCTTCCTTCTGGTCCAATATTTTAGACATGGTTTCAAACGTGAACAAATCGAGGACTTATGTAATTGACTGAGGAGTTCCAGAAAAAAGGATTCAAGCTGCCTTGATGTTTTTGTTCTCAATTTCCTTCGATGTGTTAACCTATAAAATAGTCTTTAATTTTAAGTAAATGACAAAATATTCTGCCATCTTCAATAAATGACATTGTAAGTGTAAGTAGGCTATCACTTAATTGAACAGAACACTTTTTTAATGGAAAAAATCTATATTTTATTATTGTAAACCTAAATCATAAAAATAGATGATAGTGCAAATGACGTGAAAGAAAACAAGGAAATGACAGAAAAACCAACAAAAATGACGCCAGGAGAAGGAAAGTAAAGTTCGGGTCAGGGAGTGGGTGAACAGAACACTTCATGAAAAGGAAATTGTGACGAATATCTTTTAAAACATTTTTTAAGCTAGTATATGTACAGCTCCTACAAAAATCTTCGTTTTAATATCCCAATGAGAGAGAGGCAGTAGACAGACTGAATTTGGTTTAAAGGGGCTTTAAAAGTAAAGAGTCCTACGTCTTGCCGTTGTGCTTGGGATCTTGTACACAGAATTTAACTTGAATGAAGGTTTTCAATACAAACACCTCAGAGAGATCACCTATTGAGCTATTACTAGTCATTAACGCGTTGGGGGAATTTCATTTATCTAGCTACATTCCAACCTGATAGTTTAAATATTAATTTAGAGGAGGTAAGGGTCTGGAGCCTGAGACAGAGGGCAGATCTGGGGGAGAGGAGAGAAAGGGAGGGTGCAGTGAGGGGTCTGAGGAGTAAAGATGTGCTTTCTTCAGGGACCACAGACAAATTTACTAGAGGCAGAATTACAGAGTCCCACCAAGGAAAGGCTGTATTATTTTCTAGTTTTTCAAAAGTGCTGTGTAAAGAGAACAAGAAAATGGTGCCATATTAAAATCTGAATACAACTATTACTCAAGAAAACTACTGTCGTATTTCCCCATGAACTGGAACGCTTGTAGCTAATTATAACTCAGAAAGTACCCAATCAAGGGAGAACTCTGTGGATTCTTGTCTCATTATTCAGTTTTTATTATAACTAATTTTTAGACATACTGGCCCTAGATTGAATGGAATATGTCTGAGTAAAAGATATTAGGTGTAGATGAAGTATTCACAATTCTTGAATTTCTCTACATTTTGCATAAAAAGCACTTTGTTATTCAGAGCCAACCCTTTTGAAGTTTGCCTATTAGTGAAGTACAAAGTATACTGTCAGTGTTAAGGTAATAATCATATATTTTGCCATGCATGTATGATTTTATGGCAAGTGTAATTAGTATATGTCATTTTATATTTCCTTTCAGTTTTCAGTCTTTGCAAATATGTCATACCATGTGAATCAGACTATAAAGTTATTACAAGAATTGCCCCTCTTGTAGATTTTTTCCTGGTATAGTTTTCTGGAAAAATATAAAATTTTAAAAATGATTACGAAACTAAGTTTTAAAAAGCATGATTGAAGATTTTATTTCCTCATCCTATAAAACACAGTCTTTGCAGTTCCTTTGGTACTAATCATTCTCAAATAATTTCACTTCATTTAAGAAATTTTTGCTATTTGTCCCCAGATCATTAAAATTATTAGAAGCCTTCAAAGAGATTTAGAAGGTAGATGGTAGCTTCATATTTGTACTAATCATAGAAAGTTAGCTAGTATAGAACAGTTTGCCTTTAAAAGTGTGAATTTTACTCTACGTAAATTATACCTCAATAAATCTGACTAAAAGTTATGTATCTATGTTTGAAAGTTATTTTTTTATTGAGACAAGTATAAAGGTAACTACTCTAAGGAAAGTAAACATTTGAAAATCCGAACTGGAAAATATGTAAGTTGGAGGAGGAGTAAATTTGGCTTTGTGGAGGAATTCATAGTGCAATTACATTTTGTGGCCCTTGAATATACTTCACAATGATTCAGTTATAAGATTCTCATAAAATTTCAGACACAAATCTATGGCTATGGCATACAGTTTCTTATATACGTATTGTAAAACATCCAATCATTTACAGTAAAAATCCTGGATATATTTAAAAACTATTTTTCAATCCTGTAAAATAATCAAATTCAAGTATTTGAACAGTAAATACTCAAAACATGCAAAGTACTGTTGTTCTAGAAAGAGATATGAAGCCGTATAAGGTATAGATTTTAATCTCCTTGAGCTCGCATTCTAAGTAAAAACAGAAATATGCATAGAGAGTGTAATATAAGGCAGCCTGAGATGCAGGACCACAAGAGAAGCCTAGAAAAAAGAGTTTCAACTTGAAGTTCCTGATGTTCCTAAGAAACCTAAGTTCCTCAGAGTTATTCTAAAATTTACATTTGGGCTTTGAATGAGAAGTTAAGTCTTGGATTTAAAAAAACATATAGAAAATGACATTCTAAGCAGAAGTTTCAACTTTAATAAATGCAAAATAGTAAAAAAAAACAGGAAAATAATAGGAATACTCATTACATACATGAAAGAAACAGAAATAAAGCTAGAGGTAGAACAGGAAATATGTAGGCCTATGATTGTGAAAGCAAGAGAAAAAAATGGAGAAGAAATATAGAAGAAAAAAGGGAGAATGAACAGTGACTTTTAAGGACTTGAGGGTAATAAAAATAATTTGAAACAGCTACTGTGACAAGGATTACTAATTATCCTTCAATTCGTATTTGTCTCTTTCTTCCTTAGCTCTAGAATAAAGACTACACCTCCCAGCCTCCCTTGCAGCCTAGTATGACCCCATGACTAATGTTCTGGCCATTAGGATGTAAGCTTTTGAGAACGTTCCTTAAGAGAATGCTGTGCTCTCTTTTTGCCAGTCTTCTTGTCTTAGTTCATTCTGCCACAGGAAACAAGGAAGAAATGACTACTATCTTGGGCCATGAAGACAATATCCACTCACCAAGGATGGCAGAACATAGAAATGGAAGGTGTAAGTGGGCTTCTTAGAGCAGAACTACCATACTACACCTGCCCTTTCTACATCGGATTTTGTGAAAAAGAAACTTTTATTTAAGCTTCTTGTAGTTGGGATTTTTTTTATTACTCACAGCCAAACCATATCCTAAATAATAATGGTTTTTGTGATCAATGTTCTAACTAGTAGGAATAAAAGAAAGACTAATAATAAAATTTTAAATTTATTAAGTATTTTTGCACCTTGTGTCAGATGCTTCCATTTGAGTTACATTTTCTCATCTGTATTTTCTCATCTACCTGTCTCAACAATCCTTTGAGATTTTATCCTCTTCATTACACAGGTGAGGAAACTGAAATGCAGATAGGCTTTTTCAATTGCTCAAAGGCACACCCACAGAAAGTGGTAAAGCTAGTATTGGATCCTTTATCAGTCTGAGTCCAAAGTTCATGCATATTAACCACTCTCATGTCACTGACAACCAGTTGGATGGCATAAATTTGTCATGCATCCAGGGAACATGATTCTGTAGTTTCTGCTAGGGTTCCTTAACTCTGCCCAAATCTTCATAAATAGTCCCTCCATTAAATTTTCTTCAATTAACAGCTAGACTCAGCCACATTTTTCTCTGACTGATATACCAGGTCTTTTAGGTGGCTTTCTTTAACTCTGCTTTCTCCAGAAACTAGAATGGGAATTATTTTTGTAATGCTTTTTGCTAATCATGAAGAATACTTCAGACTGCGTTTTTTAATCACCCAGCCTTCTGTTGCTTCTGTATTTAAGGCAAAAAGAGACAGAAATTGATGAAAGGCATCTTCTTGGGCTCTTAGGGTAAAGCCCTTTGATTAGGATATCCCCTGTCAAAGGTAATGTTCCACCCATTCTTAGAGACAAAAGCAACGTATATCCTCACGTCAGACTTCAAACCAGGTAGCTATGCATGACTAGAAATATATGACCAAATTTCTCTGAGAAATAGCCTAGAAATAGCATAGAAGCCATATATTGTTTTTATCTGTCCTCAATCCCTTCCTTTTGTGAAACTGCTACCTTCTGACAAAATTGAGTGCAGAAAGAGAAAAGTGGGTCAGGCTGTGGAGAAAGGTCAGGCATATGTAAACAAGAAACTAATGGAGTTTTACAAGACATTGCTACTTCTCAAATTGTTTTTGAGACTGCATATAGCTGGACCATAACATAAACAGGGGAACCAACTTTGGGTGAAGAAGCTGTGGGAAAGGACAATAGAAGTTTTCACTGTAGTTTAACTGTGGTCATAAAAAGGAGAGACAGTAAGATATATGCTAAATCAACATTTCAAGTTCCATTCTCCTATATATCCAAAGGATGCAAGGTGTGAAAGTTAACTCAACTAAAAATGATTAAGAAAGTAAATAGAGAAAAGATGGAGCAATAGTATCCCAGTGTCTGTAGTAAATGAATCAGGAGTCAAGACTTAGCTAGAGATTGCAACTTGGCATTGCAAAGGAGTAACCAAGACAGGTCTAAATGAAACATAAGATGTCTCCAGTAGTCAGCAGAAGACATGCCAGAAATAGAACTGATCCGAAAGGTTCAAAAAGAAAAACAATGAAAAATTAATTACAGCCTTGATCTTGACCACTCACATCCAGTTAACTTCGTCTTGTAGCCGGCCAGATCTTGATAATGCACT